CTCACTATAAAAGCCAAACACCTTCTTTTGTCCAAGCTGGACACCAGCTGGTCACATGACCTCTCTGAACTGTCTACCCCAGGCCTTTGTCCTGGAGCTTCCCTCTGCCCCACATATTTTCCCAATTGATCTCCACAGGGCTTCTACCTCACTTCCTTCAAGTCTTTGTTCAATTGTCAGCATCTTGGCAAGGCCTCTGGCCACTCTAGAAAACATTGTACCTCATTCCAATTTCCCTTTCTCCTTCATTTTCCCCTAGCATATATTACTTTCAACATACAGTCTATTTTCCATCTTTCTCTCCATGTGAATAGCCACTCCATGAATAGTTCTTTGTCGTTTGGACTCACATTGAATCTTAATTCTTAGAACAGTGCCTGGCATATAATAGGTACTTGTTCAACTTGGCCAGATGATCATTAAGTGTAGAGATGAGAAGCTGAAGAAAAGTGGTCATGTCCTCAAGCCCTAGACCTGTGGCAGCCAATCTTCATCCTTTCTTCCTCTCAGGGCAAAGGGACTGTGGATCTGCTCTAGAGTCGACCCTAGAGACTTCACACCGGGAGGCCTGTGGATTACATGAGGCTACAGGCTTGTCTTGCTCATGGTTGTATCTCGAGGGTCTGGCATAGGGATGAGCTGAGGTAGGTCTCAGTAGCTTCTTGTTGTTATGGTGGCTCAATCCTGTAATCCTAGCTATGTGAGAGGCAGAGATTTGGGGACCATAGTTGAAAGCCAACCTGGGCATAAAAGTTGTGAGACTTCTTCTCAATGAGTAACTGAACACAATGGATAACTGCACCTGTTATCCTAGCTACAGGGGAATCACAATAGTTGGACACAGTGGTGTGCACTTGTCATCCCCAGTGACATAGGGAAATCAAATAGGAGGACCATGGCCCAGGCCAGCCCAAGCAAAAAGCAAGCTCTATCTTGAAAATAACCAAGGTAATGCCTGGCACAAATGACTCATGTTTGTAATCCTAGCTACTCAGGAAGCTGAGATCTGAGGATTGTAGTTCAAAGCCAGCCTGGGCAAACAAATCCAACTGTTATTTTCAATTAACTAGCAAAAAGTCAGAAGTGGAGAAATGGCTCAAGAGGTGGAATACTAGCTTTGAGGAAAAAAAGCTAAACATGAGAGAGAGAGAGGGAGAGGAGCGGGGAGAGGGGCCTGGAATTCAAGCTCCAGTACCAGCACAAGAAAGAAAGAAAGGAAGGAAGGAAGGAAGGAAGGAAGGAAGGAAGGAAGGAAGGAAGGAAGGAAAGAAAGAAAGAAAGAAAGAAAGAAAGAAAGAAAGAAAGGGAAGAAAGAAAGGAAGGAAGGAAGGAAGGAAAGAAAGAAAGAAAGAAAGAAAGGGAAGAAAGAAAGGGAAGGAAGAAAGAAAGGAAAGGAAGAAAGAAAGAAAGAAAGGAAGGAAGGAAGAAAGAAAGAAAGGAAGAAAGAAAGAAAGAAAGGAAGAAAGAAAGGAAGGAAGAAAGGAAGGAAGGAAAGAAAGAAAGAAAGAAAGAAAGGGAAGAAAGAAAGGGAAGGAAGAAAGAAAGGAAAGGAAGAAAGAAAAAGAAAGAAAGGAAGGAAAGAAAGAAATCAAGGCAAAACGGGCTAGAGACATGATTAACATTACAGAGTTCCTGCTTAAAATCCAGAGTACCTTAGTACCAATGTAAAATGTGTGATCCTAGACCACAGACTCTTTGTGGAATTCTAGAGCTTGAAAGTAGAGCAGTAAAGTGAGGAGGCCCTACTAGGTGCAACCACGCCACCCAGGGCCACCCTTTTACCCATACCTCACCACCAACCCACCCCAACGCTCAGGATACTTACTCTGGAAGTCCAGTTGTAGGGACAGAACATCTTTGAAGAGGATGCCCTCCTGCTTGGCTAGCTGTCCAGCCTCTTCCTGGGGGCCCTGCTCCATGACAGCCAACTTGAGCATGTCATCATCTATCACCTTTGGCTCCATCGAGTCGTACATTCGGCTCATCTTTCCTAAAAAAACTACATTCTTTTCACAGTCTGTCTCTTCCTCAGTTTGAGGATAGAGTCTGGGTTAGGCATCCTTTTTTTTTTTTTTTTTATCAGTTGTGGGGCCTGAACTCTGGGCCTGGGCACTGTCCTTCAGCTCTTCAGCTCAAGGCCAGTGGGCTACCAACTGAGCCACAATGCCACTTCCAGCTTTTTCAGCTTATTTGGTGCTGAGGAATCGAACCCAGGGCCTCATGCATGCAAGGCAAGCACTCTACCACTGAGCCACCTTCCCAGCCTCCAGACCTCCTCTTAAAGTGTCATGGAATGCATGGCAACTGTGAGGGCTATCCACTCTTGTGCCTCAGCCTGCTATACCAAGGCTACTCCAGGGCTTGCTAGAAACCAGATGGGAAATGTTTAGTTACAAACCAAGACAAGTTTGCAGGTGTAAAATTATGGAAGCATACTTTAGGGTATCTGACCTTGGCCAGGGAAGACAAAGATTTGAAGAATGAGTAGGAAAGATTGAAGAGGGAATAGTTGAGTGAGGGGCCTGACATAGGAGTATACAAGTATGTTCCATTTGTACTAAAATAATACAAAGGTGGGCAGGCCTGCAGCAGTCACATTTGCCCTGGGAAGCATGTAGGACTTCATAAAGCAGTGACAAAATTATAATATTTTTGTGTATGTTGGTCCTAGTGTTAACAAATCCAACTGAAAGTTCTTGCTTTACTTAAAGCCTGAACACTGTCCCTGAGCTTTTTTGCTCAAGGCTAGTGCTCTACCATTTGAGCCACAGTTCCACTTCCAGCATTTTGGTGGTTAGTTGGAGATAAGAGTCTTATGGACTTTCCTCCCCAGGCTGGCTTTGAACCAGATCCTCAGATCTCTCAGACTCCTGAGTAGCTAGGATTATAGATGTGAGCCACAGGTGCCCCACTCCAAATTTTAAGAAGCTCATTCTAGCTGTTGTACTGACAGTTGCAAGAGTACTAGTAGAGTGGCCAGAGATGACCAGGTTGGTGGAGTTTGAGACATCTCTAGAAACTTAATTTATATAAGGGATTAACCATCCCCAGATTCCAGATAAGAAGATAGAAGCCAGTTAGAAAAGTTAATTAACATGCTAAAGATGAGTGTCAGATTCATCTTTTGTCCAGAAAAAGTATGTCTGCTGACAAATGTATGGATAAAACAAAACACACCACTTCTCATATATGGAAGAATCTATTTTCCTAATCATTATTCCACTACACCTAGTGTACTAGGAACAACCATTGTTACAATTTATGTTTCTTATACCTGCTGGGCCCAGGAAAAGGCCTAAAGAGTTTTTATATAATGGCTATGGGGATTATATCAGTAATTTTACCACCCACTTGGGATCCTGGTTGACTTGCCTGATGATAGTTGATGGCGAAGACAAGAAGCAGAGTTTTACACACTCAACAATGAGATGACCTCTTCACTGAGAAACAGATTGAGATTTTCCTGAGAGACAATAATCTGGGTCAATTAGATTTGAAAAATACAGACCCTAGTGGCCATAAATTAAGAAGAAAGGTAACCATAGACTGAGTGCTCATAGTGCCTTTGGTGCACATGAATTATTTAATTACATTGTCAGTTCTGGAGCCATTAAAGAAGGGGATGCTAACATTCTTATTTTCCTGAGGGAGCTGAGGCCTTGGGGAAGGGAAGGAACTTGTTCAAAATCATATAATGAAATACAGCTATGCATGTGATCTTCAGTATCTGAATTCCCAGCCCAATGAAATAATTTAATAAATTAATTTCTCTGTGTGTCTCTGTCTCTCCCTCCCTGCCCCTTCCCCAACACACACACCGCTTTGCTGATTTAAAAAAAAAAAAAAAAGAGTTGCTGGGCGCCAGTGGCTTACGCTTGTAATCCTAGCTATTCAGGAGGCTGAGATCTATGGATCACAGTTCAAAGCCAGCCTGGGCAGGAAAGTCCGTGAGATTATTATCTCCAATAAACCACTCATAAAAAAGAAAAACAAAACAAAACCGGAAGTGGTGCTGTGGCTCAAATGGTAGAGCACTTGCTTTGAGCTGAAGAGCTGAGGGACAGCGCCCAGGCCCAGAGTTCAAGCCCCATGACCGATCAAAAGAACAAAAACAAATAAAGAGTTAGGAGGTCAGGTAGGATAGCGAAATTCTGAAAGGAGTTATCAGGGTACGGAGTATGTCTCTTTCTATAAATGGATCAGGCCAGGAAGCTGGGGGATGGAACTGCTTTAAAATTCATTTAGCTCTTGCTCACTGTAGAAATGCTCTCATCATTTCTCAGCACCACGAAAAGTGGCGGGCACAGGGTATGTGCGCTCACTTTACAGATGAGAAGAGTTGGGCCAGAATCCTCAAGGTCTCAGGAAAGAGCTAAGTCGGGAGTTCTGAGACACTGAATCCACCCAGGGCCTCAATTCTCTAGTCTCACCTCCTCAAACTACTCGGCTGCTTCCAAGAGGCTGACGCGTAGCCCGGTTGCTGGGGAACCAAGCGCCGCAACTTGGTTGTTAAGGGGAAGTCAGTCCGTAGACATCCTGGGTGAAAGTTGAAAGGTCACGTGACCACATCTCTGGGTGGGGAAATATTCCTAACACCAACCAGCCACAGAGAAAACAAACGTTTCTCCAATCAGAACCTTCAATGCTCAGACAACTTCCTTAGACCCACCTCTTCTGTGCTCGCCTATTTGAGTGATTGACTTGTCTTTTATCCAATCGTACCAAGGTTTATCTAGATTGACCAACATAAAATGAATCAAAACCCACAGCTCTTTGTTCGGAGGCGGACCACGGGGAGGGAGGTGCCGCTATGGCTGACGGGGATTCCAGTGACCAATCTCGCTTCTCGCCCAATCGGACGCCGCCAAGTAGGTGGGACTTCGCTGAGGGCTGTGTGAAAGCCAATCGGAGAAAGTCTATGTAGGCCTTGTCCAATAGAGATACGGGTGGTGGGCGGGACCAGAAACCTGGCGCTTGGCGTTCCAGAGGGTGGGGCGGGGGCAAGTGTCAGTCAGGTCGGGAGTGCGGCGGCGGACATCCGAGACCGCGGCGGCAGACAGGGTACGCCGGCCGCTGTGTGTTGTCCGCCCAAGATGGAGTTCCTCCTGGGGAACCCGTTCAGCACCCCTGTGGGACAGTGTCTCGGTAAGGCCGCGCGTGGGGCAAGCGGTTGGGTGGGTGACGGCGGCGGCTGACAAGGCTAGCGACCGTGGGCCTCCGCTCAGCGTCGGTGCCACCTCACAGGTGGACCAGGCATCCTCGTCGTTGAGTCGCTGCTCGGCGCCAGTGCTACTTCACGTGTGGGTTGGGCCTCTGCCAGTCACTGGTGCCACTTTCCAGTTGGACCGGGTATCTTTGTCGTGGCGCCGATGTCACCTCACAGGCACCAGTGCCAAGCTGCCAGGAGGTGCTCCTGAGGTCCAGCTTGGACTCGAAATGTTCCCCACCTCCCGAATCAGCGCCTAGCCCTCCCTGCCCCTCCTTAGAGATGATGCCAACTGCGAGTCTGCTTTACATTCCTCTTCTGTTGGGAGATACCACTGTGCACCCTTGTCCAGCCGGCTAGTCTCACTGCCACCGTCCCCAAGGCCTAGTTTCTCAGACTCCTGGTGGGATGTCACTTCCCCTTCCATCCTTGCCCCTCTTCTGTATCAGCAGCTCTCAGACTGGACACCCTCACACAAAATGCCCCCTGCTCCACGTCTTGCTAATGTAAGCTGTAAATCAGCGAGACTGTAGGGAGGCCTAAGGTGGGGGAGGGGCTCCTGGAGGGTAATTATCTTGACAGTGGAGTGGCCTGCCTGCACTGCCTCCTAGTAAAGAAGGGAGTTGGTGTTGTATAATGATAAGAGCACTGAACTGGGAATCAGGAAACTTGGACTCCAGAAGTGACTTTGCTAGGGACTCACCCCATGACCTTGTGTCTTTTCTGGTTTGAAGTTCCCCTGTCTGTCAAATGAGATGTGATAGGTCCCTTCACGTTCCAAAGTTTTGATATTCCCTGATAGTTTTTGCACATTGACTGTTTTCTTGTTACATTTAAAATTTATAAGGCTAACATCTTTTGCTGGTAGTATAGAAAAAGCAGTATTCTGAAGTACCGGTCAATCTTATGAGTATAGGAGGACTCTGTGGGCTCCCAGAAAAGAGCACCATCAGGGCTGGGAAGGTGGCTTAGCTGTAGAGTGCTTGCCTCGCATGCATGAGGCCCTGGGTTCGATTCCTTAGCACCACATAAACGGTAAAACAGTCGGAAGTGGTACTGTGCCTCAAGTGGTAGCATGCTAACCTTGAGTTGAAGAGCTCAGAGACAGTACCCAGGCCTAGAGTTCAAGCCCCACAACTGACTGAAAAAAAGAAAGAAAAGGGCACCATTGATGAACAGCATACTGGATAAGGAGAACTCAAAGTATGTATGGAGAAACACCATGTGACCACTGTATGGGATTTCCCTATTAAAGCAGTTTGCAGACTGGGAACATAGCTCAGTGGTAGAATGTGTGCTTAGCACATATGAAATCCTGGGTTTGGTCCTCAGCATTACAAAATAATAACAATAACAACAACAACTTAAAACGTAACTTGATTTTTCACCTGAGGCTGAAGCTTATGCCAAGTGATCAGTCAAGAATGCTGATGAGTTTCTTTTAAAATGAGGTTCCCCCTAGTTGGTTGAAGGATTGGTGGAACATCTTTTATAAAGGAGGCCTTTGGTGTCCTTATGGGCTTGACTGGTTTAGGCAGTCATGATTTGTTTCCTACTTTGCCTGTGAATTTCGAGCTGACTTGCCAGTCTTTGGTAGGGCCTGTGAAGTGTTTGATGCCTCTCCTGTTAATTAATTGGCACTTAGGAGTCTGTCTTTTCTTTTTGGTACTATGTCTTTTATAAGAGATCCTGAACACTAGGCTCTGAAAGAGTTTTTCCTACCTTTAGGATACTTTGTCCCTCCTTCCCACTGAGATACCTGTTTGGATTCCCATCCTCCTTTCTCTCTCATTTCTTTTCCTACTTTCCTTTCTTCAGGTGCTCTTTCTGTATTCTTTGGCTGTGTTCTTAAAACTCGCTTCTCAGGTGGGTGTTGAAATACAGTCAGTTAACTGAGGTCACTAATAAACTTGAGAAGATTCTTTTTCTTTTATGCCCCTTTATTTTAGGAAGCTATATACCTTTAAAATGCCAGGGAGAGTATAAAGGGTAGATTGTAGATTAAGCATAGAAGTTAAAGGGGATTTTAAAATACAAATAAGGTGTAGATACATATTGAGTGGGATGAGCAATCATTTTTCTGATTCTTAAGAAGACCCGAGTTAAATTTGGCTCTGCCAATTTCTTTGCTGTGTGAACTCAGAAAAATATGTAAGCCTTCTGAGCCTTAGCTTGTCTACCTGCTGAGAGAAAGTGTATGTTGGGTGTAGGATCCATATCATGTGTCATATCTTGAGCACAGAGGCTCAGTAAATTGTAGCTGTTTCTGTTAACAGCAAAAAGAAATTAGGTTAGTTAGACTTTTTTATATATATAGAAGAGAATATGTGGTACAAGTGGCCCACTTGTGACCTCTGAAGGAAAATAATCCTTCTAGGCCTCAATGTTCACCATCTGTTATAAAAGACACTTGACTATGAAGATGAGGGTTCCCTGTTGCTAGGTCACTGAGGCTAGGCCTCAGTTGTTTCATTTCAGATAGATGGACAGATTGAAGTTCTAATGTATATCTGGAACTCTTGTATAAAAGTGATTTTCATGAAATATGGTGTTGTGTTTTTTAAATATGTGCTTGGGGGTTAGGTAAAAGGGAGAGGCATACAGAAATAAAATAACAATAAATAAAACTAAAGCTTTCACAGACCAATTCTACAACCATCATTTTCTCTGTACAGTGTTCTGTAATAAGTTTTATTATCCTTTCACTTTAGAGACAAGCAAACTGGGATTCCAGTGAGGTGAAGTGACTCCTCAGCTAATAAGAGGAAGAGCTGGGATGTCTTAAACTGTCCCTATCCTCACTGGATTTGTGGATTCTGGCAAAAAAAATAGAGATGTACAGAACAGTAATGAAGTGCAGATTTTAAGTGTTTTAGGAGTTCAGAAGAAGCTGGAAGAATGGGGACTCATCCTTTTGAGTGTGCGAGCTGTTCATGAAGCATGGGTAGGCTTTCCATAGGCCAGGAAGAGCATCCAGTGGACCTAAGGACAGATTAATGAGTGGCGTGTGGGCATATGCACATCTGTGATCACTAGTCTGAGTGGAAAAGAGGTGGCTGTAGAGAATAGGAATAGGTAGGGATTTGGTAACAGGATAAAGCCCTGCTTTGGGTGAGCAGTGTCATGACTTTGTTTAACTGGCATCAACTTTTAGTCTCTTGAGACCTCATTTTCTTCACTTATAAAATACCTCTCATTAGCTGCATGGGGATAAACCTAAACAATGGTCATTTAAGTGCTTGTGGGATACCAGTTGTGTGCCAGACTCTGGGGATGCAGATATTAAAACACTCTTAGGGACTTCAGGGAAGGCAACATGCTCACTGAAGGTGTCCTCAATCAGAATGGTTAGCAGGGTAATTATTTACTGTCTCAGGCCTTTTTCAGGAAGGCTTTTTTTTTTTTGGTCGGTTGTGGGGCTTGAACTCAGGGCTTGGGCTCTGTCCCTCAGCTCTTCAGCTCAAAGCGAGTGCTCTACCTCTTGAGCTACAGCGCCACTTCCAGTTTTCTGGTGGTTTATTGGAGATAGGAGTCTCACTGTCTTTCCTGCCTGGGCTGGCTTTGAACTTCGATCCTCAGCTCTCAGCCTCCTGAGTAGCAAGGATTACAGGCGTGAGCCACCGGCACCTGGCATCAGGCAGACTTTCTAATGTGGTGCTGTTGTACTCTTCATCTAGCTACCTGGAGCTGGCAACCAAGAGCACAGTCTGACATCGTTATTTGTGCATTTATTGCATCCATCCTGCCCTTTGTTCTGGTGGTGGTTCCTGACTAGAATGTGTGGTGTGAAAGGTTAATAAATATACTGGAAGGAAAAGGACTTTTAATTTTTTTGTCAGTTGTGGGGCTTGAACTCTGGGTCTGGGCTTGGTCCCTAAGCTCTTCAGCTCAAGATTAGCTCTCTACCACTTGAGCCACAAAGTCACTTCGGTTTTTTGGTGATTTATTGGAGATAAGAGTCTCACAGACTTTCCTTCCTGGGCTGGTTTTGAACTGAGATCTAAGGATCCTTAGAAGCTAGGATTACAGGCACAGTGCCCAGCTGACTTTTAATTTTATTTTTTATTTTTAACTTTTATTTATTTATTTATTTTTTGGGTCCAGTCATGGGGCCTGAACTCTGGGCCTAGGCGCTGTCCCTCAGCTCTTCAGCTCAAGGCCAGCGCTCTACCACTTGAGTCACAGTGCCACTTCTGGCTTTTTTCTTTTTTGCTTATGTGGTGCTGAGGAATCGAACCCAGGGCCTAAGCATGCAAGGCAAGTGCTCTACCACTGAGCCACCTTCCCAGCCATGACTTTTAATTTTTGATTCTCTTTTTTTTCTGATGGTGAGGCTTGACTCAGGGCCTCATGTTCTTGCTTGGCTTTTTTCTGTTCAAGGCTGGCATTGAGTCATGCCTCCATTTTGACATGTGTGCATGCGCACGCACGCGCGCGCGCGCGCGTGTGTGTGTGTGTGTGTGTGTGTGTGTGTTTGCTTGCCTGTCCTGGGGCTTAAACTCAGTGACTAGGTGTTGTGCCTATGCTATTTTTGCTCAAGGCTAGTACTCTCCCTCTTGTGCAGTAGCTATACTTCTAGCTTTTTTGGTGGTTAATTGGAGATGAGTCTTACTGACTTTCCTTTGAACCATGATCCTCAAATCTCAGCCTCCTGAGTAGCTAGGATTATAGGTATGAGCTAGTGGCACCCAGATTCACTGCATAATGTTGGATGTCATACATCAGGAGTTCCTGAAAGTCAGGATACAGTACTCTGTATTTATTTTCCTTGTTGGCTGGAAAAGTTTTGCAGATACTCCTTTTCTAAGAGTAAAGTTGAGATTCATTTACATTTAGTCCTCAGAACATCTTATTTAGTTCTCAGAACATTTAATCCTTTAGGTGTTATCGTCACTGTATTACTTAAAGAAATCTAGGCTCTCAGAAACAAAGAGACTTG